CAACAGCAGTAGCAGCATTTACAATACCACCTGAAACGACATTAGCATAAGAAAATATTATTATCAACAACATCAGCACGGACTGATTATTTTTACAGGTCGCGACAGATTATACAAAGATGCATTTATGTTCTCTTATCTCGCGTCTGCGTCTTCAATTGGTGGCTGCAAGCGCAGCACTACCGCGGTAGAATCCTCTCCGCAGCTATCCAAACAATACGGGTGTTGGTCACGGCCGTAAAATGGTTAACGAGAACGATAAGAGACGTGTAGTTTTATGTGTGCCACACTACCTTATGTATACTAGTACGTGGGCAATTTTTTTATTTAATTGATTATCCGGGGCATTTTTAGGAGATTTATAGGTGCACACCCACCCTTTGATACGTACACAATTACCTGAAATAGAGGCACCTCTTCAAGTACCTTAGCCTCCATAGCAAGGCACCGCACATTTAGGCATTCAAAATGAAACAATAATATTCTTTGCTTTGTACACAATCTCCGTAATATAGGCGTCTTTGGTGGCAGCACACAGTCTTGAGTTAAAAATTCGCCCTCATTATCCGGTATACCCCAATGAGTACCCATAACGCTGCCATTTCCCATATTTCAAGATCATTAATTGTTTTGAATCAAGTATTGATAAAACGTCTATCTGGTTCTGAAAAAAAACAGAAAGATTTTCCACTGCTTGCTGCCACTTCTTACGGTCTTTGCTTTGGCATTCGATGATGCTGCCTCGCGCTGACGGCTAATTCCAAGGTTTTCATATTGTAGGCTTCCGAGTGACTATACATTGTTGTAACGGAAGTCGAACGATTCAACAGCTCTATTCACGTGCTTGTCGTCAGGCATTATACATTCATGTTTTTGCTTCTGTTCTATGATGAGTATGCGTACAATTTCAGGGTACCGTTTAAAGAGCATGGGAGCTACCCAAACAGCGTCAAGATAGCCTAAGGCAGAGACGGTGGTAAAAATACGGAAGGGGGGTTGTAGTCATCGCAGCGAAGCCGACAAATTAGAGCTGTCGGGCGTCATCAAGGGTATCAAGCTCGCTAAGCAAGCGACAACTCGTTCGGATTTTTTCGGTCTTCCCTCCTTTAACCCCATGGCGAAACGCTCGAGCTAACGTCTTCTTCATCATCTGTCGCTGTCCTAGGCTCCGTGTTGCACTGTTCTTTACGTCTTGCTATCAAAATATAAGGTCCGTCCGTAGCAAAAGTATTGTATGCCCGAACGTGTTGCTGTGGCACGCGCGTCGACGCTACAAAAAAAGGACTTGTACATTGTTTGCCTAGGCAAGTAGCCACTACCTTTACGGTACTAGTGTGACAATCTCGTCAATCGTTACAGTGCTTTTTAATAGTGCTGGGTCATGATCAAACTTGTATGAGTCACTGATTGAATTGGTACCTTTTCACTTGTGAGTCTACTATCTCAGTTTAGCAGAGTACGTACCTTGGGGCGTACTTACTAGTCTGAATTGTCTCAAGTGATAACGTGTAGCTTGTCTACCGATCGCCCTTGTCGATCAGTATAATGATGACTCGGGCAGCATCGTCAACGTTAGCAGCAGCATGTATCGCGGTAAGATAATGATATTTTAACGCATTACAACGCACACCATTACCTTTTCAAACGTAATCCTCTACATATCTGGATGAGCCTCTATAGCTGGTTGCTCACACCATGGTTGCACCTTCAAGGAGCAGCAACGGTTTTCTAGTGCTGGTTGATCCTTCTACGAATGCTAATATAGCCATCCAATTCGAGCGACTATTCCAGAAATAAAGGGCGACCATTATTAACCTGACTTCACTGCTGGCATCAGCTTGGCTATGCTGCACTAGACGGGACCCCTTGTGCACGTATTTTGATGCGCTTGTCCGCAAAGTATTAGCACCGTAGATTAGTACAAGTAAAGTCTGCAGCATTGGACTAAGACAACGCATTTAAAAGCCCATTCGCAGCAGTTGTGTAAGTCGTTTACTTGGTCCACCACTAAATGTGAGGGAGAACAGAATGTGTCACCAAAGTATTACAGTTCGTGTTTAGAATGACAAAGGCGGTCCTTAAGTGTGCGTAAGTGTCATCACGACAGTTGACAGACGGGCTTCATTGGGTACCACTTCGTACATGCTGCGTGTCTGCGAACCAAGAAGAATGTTATGGTGTAATTTCTTTTATGACATCGACCGATATTTCAAATCAATTTAGGGCGGTGTACCGGATAGTGAAACGAAATTTTAACGCGAGGCTGTGTGCTGCCACAAAAGACGCCTGTATTACGGAGGGGTGTGAACGAACAAAGAATATTTATATTGCATTTCGTATGCATAACTGCACAATGCATCGCTAGGGAGGTTACGGTACTTCAGGAGGGGCCTCTAATTCAGGTGTGCTCACCATTATATTGGTGTCCGCTGTTGCCCAAATGAAAACGCTAGATGTAAGGGGGCAGCCCGTTACATGATATTGTCACTTTAAGGAAAGTGACAATAAAGAATATAAATATGGATATTCTTTAAACAATATCACCAAAGTGGTGATATTGAAGGGTCGACCAAAGGGTCTGTTCATTGGTTGATATCTTGATGATATCAACCCACCAATCGCCGCAAGACGCGCGCAAGGAGTGGTGAGTAGACGTCGTCATACATTCAGTTAGATTACTATAGTTAAACTAAGTCAAACAGAGAGACAGTAGTTAAAGACTTAATTATACTAATATAACAGTTATACTTTTACCCTACCTACGCTTCCTCGCTTGCCACGTTTACGTCTGTCGGGGCACCCAAAACCCTTGCGTTAAGTTCACGCAAGGGTGTGCCCCGTTAAACTACAGCACAGCAGCGTTTTGCAAAGCAATGCATTGCCATACAGCGTCGGTTGGCAACCAGCCACTCGAGACCATCATTTGCGTAGCTCGCGTACACGCTTCACGCAGTTTTCGCGCCTACAGAAATACGCGCACGGCTTTGCAAGATACTTCAATTCGCAGACCACCACAGTGCCAACGTGTCCCGGATACCAGCGCATGCTAGAGAAGTAGTCACGCGACCTCTAAGACGCAGTATTCCGAGTTTTAGTCGATTTGCCTGATGCACGAGATATTTCTTTGAGATACCTTGACGGTACACCAACAGAATAGTGGCCAGTACGTGTGGCGTGCCAGTCGTTGCGTATTTAATTCGTGCGTCCGTGATGGCGTATCTCACATCTTTGACAACAGCAGACGTCGGCACAGCGATCTCCTCCCTCTCTTCGGCGTGCGCGATAGTTGCATCGACATACTGCTTCACATCCAACGGTGCACCAAACTTTACCAAGATCGAGCCAAACTACTTTTGCACGACTGGCATGGCTTTGAACAAAACGCTGATCGACTACGAAGCGAACACGACAATGAGTGTAAACGCACAAGAAGCATGCAGCAGCAAAGGGAATGTATGACAGCATACCTCCGAATTTGCCCTCGCTTAGTAGCTCGTTCTGGTGCAGCAGTACTTCCAGCGGCTTTTCATAGTCGATAGTCACAAGTACGATGTAGAGCTAGCAGCACGAAACGAAAACACATGTCAATCTTTGAGCTTTAAGCCTCGAGCAATCCGTCAATACGAAACCGACTTACATTACTGACTCTCCCGGACACGTAGCAATCCACAAAGGTGCTAACAATACCAAACTTTGGGGGTGCAGTTGATTGCCACTGCGACTGCGTCAACCTTCAATAAAGAAATCGATCGTCTATCCTCTTGATACCAAGTACTGTGTGTACGCTCGGAACACAGCGGTATATAACGGGTCATCGGAAAACGATCGGCGAATGAAGTAAGCTCCAGACTCACGTAGCAGTTTGGTGAGGGTGCCCGCATGTATAAACCTTCTCCAGCGACAACGTATGGAACGGGGATGGTGTAAGCGAAGAAGACGTAGCTCATGAGCAAAAAGTCCACGTACGATCGGGACAAGGCGACGCTTCCACGGCGGTCGGCCGGAAGGTCGCGAATTGGAGTCAGACCCGTCTCGCCCACAGGATTTGGTCGTACATGCTTCGACAAACCTTCCGGAGAAGCCTGCCAAACTTACGCACAGCCTTGTAATCCATTTGTGCGGCCATGGTCTCAAGTATACTGGCAGCTGACATTCTCATCGTCCGATTCCATCCCTTGCGCCAAGGCACACGCTTTGATCGCAGCACGAACGCCTTCTGACTCCAACACGCTGTTGCAAGGGCCACTGATGGACTCGACATGGGCCCGGGGAACGTGTGATGCCTCGTGGTTTACGCCTTCCTTCCATCCATCAATCAAGTAAGACCCATCATGCGACCGAGCAGCCCAGGTTTCGTGTATCTGGCTTGCGGCTTGACGTGTACGCCCAGAACGCATCAGAGAGCAGACCGGGAAATGGGATGGCACGGTGGTCTGGATCCCATTCCAGCATGCATGTTGGCGAGCGTGACCTCGAGACGGTGGCTGGACACGAGCGTGTTGAGGAAGCCGCTGCGGTGGCTCATACGGCTGACACTGCTGCGCCCGCTTGGTGCATAACGACACGTCGTCAAGTGTAGTGCAAACTGACGGGCGACATTGCCACTGCGCGTCTGTATCGTTCCCCCCTCCACACAATGAATAATTAGGTCTGAGAGGGTAGATCGCACCATGCTTTTTAGCCTACTTTGGTCAAGTCAAGCGCTTAATCGATCGCGCCATTGCTTTTTGTCGTACCTTTTTGGTCAAGTAAGGCTTTTGGTCGATCGCGTCATTGCTTTTCGTCCTACTTGTTTGTTCGAGCAAGGCTTTTGGTCGATCGCGCCATTGCTTTTTGTCATACCTTTTTTTGTCAAGTCAAGCGCTTGGTCGATTGCGCTCCACACCAAATCGACAAACAAACCTCTGTGTTTCGGTCTGTCTCAAATTCAGTCACTCAGCTTGACACCGACCACGACCTCCGATCAAGACACTCGACCAGCCCCATTTCGCGTTCCTGTCATGCGCCCGTCACTGTCGTCGTCTACAACGACCCCCAACCGTGGCGAAAAGGGCTGCAACGAGGAGTGCCTTCATCACCGCCGCCGCCGAGCGGACAGTGCGCCGTTTACCGCGTCGAAGCGCCAGAAAACAGACGACAACGACGCGCGTCGTGGCGATCGCGAGCCTGCGCGCGCGCCCGCGAGTGGTTTCTTTGTCCGTCTCGCACGTTATATTCCTATTGTGAACAGGTTTGTGGCGGAGGAAGACGTGGGTACGAATGTGGATTTGGATGTCGGCGCGGACGCTGGTGTTGATGACGACACGGACGATGTAGAGTCGTCGGTCTTGGAGACATGTGGGAAGATTCAGACGGCGCAAGAAAACTTAGGTGAAGAGGGCGAGGGACGGGGCCGTGATGGTGGTGAAGATGGAGGCGAAGATGAAAAAAGGTGCCGGAAACGTTTGTGCCAGTGGATGTGGAGAAGAAGAAGAAGATGCAGCAACAGCAACAGCAGCAAGGATACGCTTGAGGACGCGGTGGACGTGTCGGTGCCGCCGGTGACCCGCTCGACGCTACCTGCGGGTCAAGGGAAGAAGAAATTTGCCACAAGACTGTCGCCTCCGCTCAAGTGTCGTCGTTCGCCGCCGTGTGAGAGCAAGCAAGAGAAGGAAAGCTCTAGCGCTGTGATGGATCAAGTGCGTCGAATACGTGAGAAGCGTGAGGGCCTCTTCGGATCATCGCGACCGCCTCAGACGCCGAATGCTGCTGGCACGCAGGAGCGACAGGTACCCACTTCTCCGTCGCCGCTCGACGTGGCACGCAAGATCATCAAAGAGAAAAAGAAAATCTCGCTTGACGAGTTTGAGCGTCTTCAGCACCAGCTGCACGAACTGGTCGGGACAACGCCTCACGAACAGTTGACGCAAGCATATTTGTTAATGGATCTCGGGCTCCTGGTGACGCCAAGCTGTCCTGGCGTGAAGTCGGAGCTAAGTTTTGTGCCTAGTTCTATTGCTGCGCAGAACCGTGGTCGTTCGGCCGCTCGAAGTGAGCAGAAACGTGAATCGGGAGATGAGGTGAAGAGTGATATGCCGTCCGGTAAGCGTCCAAGAACGCACGAGACTGAACCAGTGAGACGCCCTGGCGCTACTCAGCACGGACTCCTGACGCGTGAGGAACGCCGGTTGCGTAAGCCACGTTCGTCTCCGCTGTTGCCTAGGCGCGATGCTGCTACAAGCAAGATGTGTTCTGATGCACTTGCGAGAAACATTATATTGGTGCTAAACAAGGTGCAGAGCCCGCCGGCGGAAGAAGCACTCAAGCCGACACCTTCGACGACCGTGTCGGGGACTTCGAGAAGTGCGACTGCTGCGTCAACTGATGCGCCTGCGCCAAGTTCGTCTCAGGTGACGTCGATGACCTCTGCATCGACTCCCACGAGAACTGTTCTTGAGCAGCAAGAGATGGAGACGATTGGTGGATTAGGGGTTATACTTCCTATTGGCGTCGAAGGAATAAAACACGCAGGGGCGGATGATAAGGATACCCGTGTCCGATTTGTGTTCTCTCCTTCGCCCAGCATGCGCGAGCCTCCCGTGAAAGTTTTGAACCAGAAAACTACGAAGGATGACGGCAAAAAGTCTGTCGCGGCCGAGGAGGCCACGAAGCTTAGTGCTGATATGCCGGCAGTTACACCTGCTGCTTCTCTCAGCGGTGCTGCTAATCCTCTCGCCAGGTTTATGCAGCTAAAACCTGGACAGTGGAAGTGTACTAGATGCCGTGTCTTGAACGAGGCTACCAGTGGCAGATGTCCATGTTGTGGAACCGCTCGATCTGATGGTGGCTCTGCGGCAAAAGCTCGTACTGCACTGTTGGAGACGACTGAAAAGTGTCCTTTGACTGGACTTAGCTTTGGTACAACCACCGAAGCTACAGCGGCCGCAGACAAGGGTACTGCTACGCCGGCTGCTGGCTCAATCACGCCTGCTCTCACAAGTTTTAGCACTGCGTCGTCTCCGCAACCGATGGAATCCACAGCGTTCTGTTGGGCACCTTCCACAACGAGCTTTGGTACTGCGTCGTCAGCTTTTGGGCCGAGCTCATCTGGTGGCGCTGATTCCAGCGCCACTGCGGGAGGGTTCGGTAGTACTTCGGCTGCTGCTCCCTCGACTCCGTATGGCAGCTCCACGTCTTCGTTGCAAGCTGCACCGCCATTTCTTTTCGGAGGATTTAGTCAAGCACAAACTGCGACTACGCCGACAAACACCCAGCCGACGCTCGCTTTCAGTGCGTCGACTGCCCCAGCTCCTAACGGCTTTGAAACGGTGGTCCAAGTGGTGGATTCGGCACTACATTTGTTGCTCCTGCGCCAGGCAGTGGATTCGGCAATGGCCCACCGAGCTTGCACCGGCGGTCCAAGCGGTGGATTTGGAACTATATTTGATGCTCCTGAGACAGGCAGTGAATTCGGCAATGACTCACCTAGCTCTGACTTTCTCCCTCCAACTCCGCCCTCTGCGTCTCCAACTCCGACCTCTGCATTTGGTTTCACTCCTGCAGCTCCGGGCTTTGGCACCATTCCAAACACGGCTTTTGGCACTGAAGCTCCCACTTCTGGTTTCAGAGATCCTACTGCAGATGCAGTTAGCGCTCCAGATGATGGCACGTGTAGCATGGACTTGGATTATGTCCATGCTGATAGCACGTTTGGCATGGACGTTGGTTATGCCCCAGTCCAAGCTTCGCCCTTCGGCACTGACCCGAGTATATCTTTCAATGCTACGACTTCCGCTTTTGGTTTTGGAGCTCCTGCTGCAGATGGTTTTGGCGCCCCGACTGACGGCAGGTTTGGCACGAACGGTAAGTATGCCCAAGCCCCACGCCAAGCTTCGACCTTCCGTGCTGTTCCGGACGCATCTTTCGGTGCGACGCCATCCGCTTCTGGTTTCGGAGCTCCTGCTGCAGGCGGTTTTGGCGCCCCGGCTGACGATAAGTTTGGCATGAACGGTAGGTTATGCCACAGCCCCACGCCAAGCTTCGACCTTCCGTGCTATTCAGGACGCATCTTTCGGTGCGACGTTATCCGCTTCTGGTTTCGGAGCTTCTGATGCAGGCGGTTTTGGCGCCCCGGCTGACGATAGGCGTGGCACGAACGGTGGTTATGCCCCAGCTCCAGCCCAAGCTTCGACCTTCCGTGCTATTCCGGACGCATCTTTCGGTGCGACGCCATCCGCTTCTGGTTTCGGAGCTCCTGCTGCAGGCGGTTTTGGCGCCCCGGCTGACGATAGGTTTGGCATGAACGGTGGTTATGCCCCAGCCCTATCCCAAGCTTCGACCTTCCGTGCTGTTCCGGACGCATCTTTCGGTGCGACGCCATCCGCTTCTGGTTTCGGAGCTCCTGCTGCAGGCGGTTTTGGCGCCCCGGCTGACGATAGGTTTGGCATGAACGGTAAGTATGCCAAAGCCCCACGCCAAGCTTCGACCTTCCGTGCTATTTCGGACGCATCTTTCGGTGCGACGCCATCCGCTTCTGGTTTCGGAGCTCCTGATGCAGGCGGTTTTGGCGCCCCGGCTGACGATAGGCGTGGCACGAACGGTGGTTATGCCCCAGCTCCAGCCCAAGCTTCGACCTTCCGTGCTATTCAGGACGCATCTTTCGGTGCGACGCCATCCGCTTCTGGTTTCGGAGCTCCTGCTGCAGGCGGTTTTGGCGCCCCGGCTGACGATAGGTTTGGCATGAACGGTGGTTATGCCCCAGCTCCAGCCCAAGCTTCGACCTTCCGTGCTATTCCGGACGCATCTTTCGGTGCGACGTTATCCGCTTCTGGTTTCGGAGCTCGTGCTGCAGGCGGTTTTGGCGCCCCAGCTGACGATAGGCGTGGCATGAACGGTGGTTATGCCCCAGCTCCATCCCAAGCTTCGACCTTCCGTGCTATTCCGGACGCATCTTTCGGTGCGACGCCATCCGCTTCTGGTTTCGGAGCTCCTGCTGCAGGCGGTTTTGGCGCCCCGGCTGACGATAGGTTTGGCACGAACGGTGGTTATGCCCCAGCTCCAGCCCAAGCTTCGACCTTCCGTGCTATTCCGGACGCATCTTTCGGTGCGACGCCATCCGCTTCTGGTTTCGGAGCTCCTGATGCAGGCGGTTTTGGCGCCCCGGCTGACGATAGGTTTGGCACGAACGGTGGTTATGCCCCAGCCCTTGCCCAAGCTTCGACCTTCCGTGCTATTCCGGACGCATCTTTCGGTGCGACGCCATCCGCTTCTGGTTTCGGAGCTCGTGCTGCAGGCGGTTTTGGCGCCCCAGCTGACGATAGGCGTGGCATGAACGGTGGTTATGCCCCAGCCCTATCCCAAGCTTCGACCTTCCGTGCTATTCCGGACGCATCTTTCGGTGCGACGCCATCCGCTTCAGGTTTCGGAGCTCCTGCTGCAGGCGGTTTTGGCGCCCCAGCTGACGATAGGCGTGGCATGAACGGTGGTTATGCCCCAGCCCTAGCCCAAGCTTCGACCTTCCGTGCTATTCCGGACGCATCTTTCGGTGCGACGCCATCCGCTTCTGGTTTCGGAGCTCCTGCTGCAGGCGGTTTTGGCGCCCCGGCTGACGATAGGTTTGGCACGAACGGTGGTTATGCCCCAGCCTCAGCCCAAGCTTCGACCTTCCGTGCTATTCCGGACGCATCTTTCGGTGCGACGTTATCCGCTTCTGGTTTCGGAGCTCCTGCTGCAGGCGGTTTTGGCGCCCCAGCTGACGATAGGCGTGGCATGAACGGTGGTTATGCCCCAGCCCTATCCCAAGCTTCGACCTTCCGTGCTATTCCGGACGCATCTTTCGGTGCGACGCCATCCGCTTCTGGTTTCGGAGCTCCGGCTGCAGGCGGTTTTGGCGCCCCGGCTGACGATAGGTTTGGCACGAACGGTGGTTATGCCCCAGCTCCAGCCCAAGCTTCGACCTTCCGTGCTATTCCGGACGCATCTTTCGGTGCGACGCCATCCGCTTCTGGTTTCGGAGCTCCTGATGCAGGCGGTTTTGGCGCCCCGGCTGACGATAGGTTTGGCATGAACGGTGGTTATGCCCCAGCTCCAGCCCAAGCTTCGACCTTCCGTGCTATTCCGGACGCATCTTTCGGTGCGACGTTATCCGCTTCTGGTTTCGGAGCTCGTGCTGCAGGCGGTTTTGGCGCCCCAGCTGACGATAGGCGTGGCATGAACGGTGGTTATGCCCCAGCCCTATCCCAAGCTTCGACCTTCCGTGCTATTCCGGACGCATCTTTCGGTGCGACGCCATCCGCTTCAGGTTTCGGAGCTCCTGCTGCAGGCGGTTTTGGCGCCCCAGCTGACGATAGGCGTGGCATGAACGGTGGTTATGCCCCAGCTCCAGCCCAAGCTTCGACCTTCCGTGCAATTCAGGACGCATCTTTCGGTGCGACGCCATCCGCTTCTGGTTTCGGAGCTCCTGCTGCAGGCGGTTTTGGCGCCCCGGCTGACGATAGGTTTGGCACGAACGGTGGTTATGCCCCAGCTCCAGCCCAAGCTTCGACCTTCCGTGCTATTCCGGACGCATCTTTCGGTGCGACGCCATCCGCTTCAGGTTTCGGAGCTCCTGATGCAGGCGGTTTTGGCGCCCCAGCTGACGATAGGCGTGGCATGAACGGTGGTTATGCCCCAGCCCTATCCCAAGCTTCGACCTTCCGTGCTATTCCGGACGCATCTTTCGGTGCGACGCCATCCGCTTCTGGAGTCGGAGCTCCGGCTGCAGGCGGTTTTGGCGCCCCGGCTGACGATAGGTTTGGCACGAACGGTGGTTATGCCCCAGCTCCAGCCCAAGCTTCGACCTTCCGTGCTATTCCGGACGCATCTTTCGGTGCGACGCCATCCGCTTCTGGTTTCGGAGCTCCTGATGCAGGCGGTTTTGGCGCCCCGGCTGACGATAGGTTTGGCATGAACGGTGGTTATGCCCCAGCTCCAGCCCAAGCTTCGACCTTCCGTGCTATTCCGGACGCATCTTTCGGTGCGACGCCATCCGCTTCTGGTTTCGGAGCTCCTGATGCAGGCGGTTTTGGCGCCCCAGCTGACGATAGGCGTGGCATGAACGGTGGTTATGCCCCAGCTCCAGCCCAAGCTTCGACCTTCCGTGCTATTCCGGACGCATCTTTCGGTGCGACGCCATCCGCTTCTGGTTTCGGAGCTCCTGATGCAGGCGGTTTTGGCGCCCCAGCTGACGATAGGCGTGGCATGAACGGTGGTTATGCCCCAGCCCTAGCCCAAGCTTCGACCTTCCGTGCTATTCTGGACGCATCTTTCGGTGCGACGTTATCCGCTTCTGGTTTCGGAGCTCCTGATGCAGGCGGTTTTGGCGCCCCGGCTGACGATAGGTTTGGCATGAACGGTGGTTATGCCCCAGCTCCAGCCCAAGCTTCGACCTTCCGTGCTATTCCGGACGCATCTTTCGGTGCGACGCCATCCGCTTCAGGTTTCGGAGCTCCTGATCCAGGCGGTTTTGGCGCCCCGGCTGACGATAGGCGTGGCATGAACGGTGGTTATGCCCCAGCCCCAGCCCAAGCTTCGACCTTCCGTGCTATTCCGGACGCATCTTTCGGTGCGACGCCATCCGCTTCTGGTTTCGGAGCTCCTGATGCAGGCGGTTTTGGCGCCCCAGCTGACGATAGGTTTGGCATGAACGGTGGTTATGCCCCAGCTCCAGCCCAAGCTTCGACGTTCCGTGCTATTCCGGACGCATCTTTCGGTGCGACGTTATCCGCTACTGGTTTCGGAGCTCCTGCTGCAGGCGGTTTTGGCGCCCCAGCTGACGATAGGTTTGGCATGAACGGTGGTTATGCCCCAGCCTCAGCCCAAGCTTCGACCTTCCGTGCTATTCCGGACGCATCTTTCGGTGCGACGCCATCCGCTTCTGGTTTCGGAGCTCCAGCTGCAGGCGGTTTTGGCGCCCCGGCTGACGATAGGTTTGGCACGAACGGTGGTTATGCCCCAGCCCAAGCCCAAGCTTCGACCTTCCGTGCTACTCCGGACGCATCTTTCGGTGCGACGCCATCCGCTTCTGGTTTCGGAGCTCCTGCTGCAGGCGGTTTTGGCGCCCCGGCTGACGATAGGTTTGGCACGAACGGTGGTTATGCCCCAGCTCCAGCCCAAGCTTCGACCTTCCGTGCTATTCCGGACGCATCTTTCGGTGCGACGCCATCCGCTTCTGGTTTCGGAGCTCCTGATGCAGGCGGTTTTGGCGCCCCGGCTGACGATAGGTTTGGCATGAACGGTGGTTATGCGCCAGCCCAAGCCCCAGCCCAAGCTTCGACCTTCCGTGCTATTCCGGACGCATCTTTCGGTGCGACGCCATCCGCTTCTGGAGTCGGAGCTCCTGATGCAGATAGTTTTGGAGCCCCGGCTGACGATAGGTTTGGCACGAACGGTGGTTATGCCCCAGCCTCA